TCTTGTCACAATGAATGCCGTAGCATTGCATGGGATTCTCGTGTCGTGTGCACACCTTCCATTTCAAATGCGTTGAGAACAGCTACACCTTGCTTTTTACTCGCTACCATTGTTGACCTTTTTTCCATACCTTCTTTTACGTCCTCCACTCTATTTTATTTTTTAACCCATGCAGAGCTAGTAAAGAAATACACCCAAACACAGACATAGCATTCACCCAAATAATCATATTTGAACTCTCTAGATGAAAAGCGAAGTGGAGGATGGGACCGGTTACATTTGGAAGCAGCTCCTATTAGGGTGTAGTCATTGATTATGAGATGAGGGTAGCCACTTTGCTACCACCTCAACAATTGGTGATGAAATAGTTTATATGTGCGTGCTGCATTGCTTGTCATTCCCTTGGACTACTTGCCACCACGCCTTATGTGAGTGGCAGAGCAGAGAGCACAAGAACAAGAGCCGTAATCATACAGACGCAGATTAAAGTTTGATTTGGAGGCTTGCTGTGATAAAATTCCTTCCCACAACACATTCACTGCACATTGTTTTTGAGGGCTCCTCCGTCACACCCAATTGATTGGAGCCACTCAAATGCAGATAAAAGGTGTAAGGGGGTGCCAGACGATTTGCTTTTTAATTGGCTAAACAGATCCAATTATCTGAATTCCTTACGCCAGCAGTCATCGCGGTCAAAATGGAGCACGTAGGAGGCATCACCTAAAATTCACAAGACATTGCAATATGACAGCAGAATTGTCACATACATTCAAAAGACAGCACACATTTTTCCTCAAGTATTCCCATTTATACGTATAATTTAAACAGCAAGAAAATTTGCCTTTTGATATGATGCCAACCTGTAGCGATTTCACAAGTAATGGAAGGAGTGATTCGTAGGACAATTTTGCTTAGTTTCTTGAATTGTAGTGCAGTTAGCTACTTAGCCCGAAAACTTGAAACGGGTGGAGTTTTAAAGGTTGCGTGGAGAGGATTCAACTTGTAGTGAACAGGGACTGTCTCCTTCCTCTGTTAACGTCAAGCTGCAGCCAAATTTTTTCTTAATTTATACCTTTCATACTTACAGCATGACAACATATGTTGGCTTCTCTTGCAGAGTATTTTTATACATATTTGTGAATGCTCTTTTGTGTAAGCAGCATCGAAGACCCTTTTCGGTGGTTATAAATTTTACTTTAACAATTGCCTACAGTAAGATGCCTTATAGCGATGTACAGCCAAATGTACGCTGACTGTTCTAAAAGTAGGTCGAAAAGAAATGCGCCTTCTACTCCTCTCCATCCTTGAGATACCTGGAGAACAAATAGACAGATTTACACAAAACACGGAGTCACTAAACTGGGAAATCCGATAACTTTGGTGTAGTTTTCTAGACCTGACTCATGGTAAATTGATAGTCTTTTTGCACTTGGGTGGCTTTACAAATGATCATTCACTAAAGCCTTCTTGTACCCACTTTACTACTCATTTACGCCCCCTCATCCACCTCAACGCGCTGCTTAATTTATTCGCTCATTAGTTCCGTCATTCATGACTTGGTTTAGGGCTACAATGAAGCAGACGAAGGCACTGAAAAAAGAACGACTTGTAGCACTGCAAAAACTGAGTATATTCTCACATGAAAATTGTCGCAAATTTTTTAGACGCATGTACCCATACAGGAGGTGAAAGTAGGCCTCACTGTCGTGGAGTAATTTTTGGAGCCTCC